CATCACACCCCTTCATCGGCTGGGGATTCTGCAGGTTGATGGGCAGGAAGGATACCATGTTGGCTCTCCTCCCATTTCATCCACAGCTGCCAAGTTCCAGAGCAGGAGGCAGCACAGGATGATTTTCTTGGTGCTGGAGGGAGATATGGCTTTGGTTACTCCCAATGCTCCCAACATTCACCATCTTGTTTTCTCTCCTTCTTTCGTTACCCGCGTCACTTCCTCCCTCCAACCCACCTCGTTCCAGAGCCCGCCCCTAGAACCGGCTTTGCTGCTCGTGTGCTCTTTACCCACCGCCTCTTTCCCGCCAAAGCAGAGCTGAGCACTAGCATGTGCTAAGCAGAGATAGGAGCTGATCAATGCCTGTGTTCCTAGATCTGGCCACATAGTTCAGCCAGAGCTGAAATGCGATTGAGAGAGGGGAGGGAAGTGGCAGTTTCCACAGCTCTTCCTCTATCCATCTTAGTTACTTCTGTGGCCACCCAGCACTGTAGAATCTGAGCACCTCACAGGTGTTTTGCCTCATAGCACCTCTGTGAGGGAAAGAAGTGCTATTATCCCCATTTCACAGATGGGGAACTGAGGCAGAGAGACTGCAGTCATATAGGAAGTCTGCGGCATAGTCGGGAACTGAACCCAGGATCTCCCAAGTCTCAGGCTAGTGCCCTAACCAAGGATGATCCTTCCGCTGCTGGCAGCAAAGGAGTGAAGCATTGTGCTGAAGCATTGTCCCTAATCCTACTCCTCCTCCTCCCTGTTCATCCAAGTGCTCTTTTCTGTTTTCTGATGGCTCTTCTGCTTTCTGCATGGTATGCAACCCCACCTTCCTCCATCTTCCTCCTTACCCTCTATCCTTTTCCTCTTTGCCTCTTTCCCTCACTATTGTTCTTTCTTCTCAGAACCTCTCCTGTAAGGATCTTGCAGAACCCGGTCTTCAACCCCAACCCATGGATTTCAAAATGAAAGTCACCCGATTTGGTAAGTTTCACATTCCTGGTCACACACCTCAGTCTCCTTACCCAGCATGTTCAATTATGTGAAATTGACCAAACCCATTCAGTTACTCTATGACATCAACTGCAGACCTAGTATAACAGGGACTTTGTCGGAGGAAATCACAAAGGGGGAAATTGGAACACATAAGGGGAGAGCGTAAGTTGCCAGGAGATAATGGGAGGCTTGAGGGAAAGGTCCCTCATGCAGGATAAGATAGCGCTGCTTCAGGCAAGAGACTTGACAGACATATCCGCTCTCTCCAATCTGTGCAGTAGAGGAGATGCAATGACCTAATCAAAGCAAAATGAGCTATAATAAACTGAATTCCCAATGCACTTTCCGCCTCCAGAAACAACAAAAACAAAATACACGTTTATACAGTACAAACTTCACTCAAGAGTCACAGGTGCCTTACAATAAAAGCAGCACTGTTTATTATAGTTTATCTTTTTAAAAGTTCAGACGCAGCAAACAAAACTGTTTTTAACTTAGCATTAAACACCAAGATGGCCTGAGTAAGTCAAAGAGATAGCCAAGGTATGTTCCAGGAGCGTAGTTGTTAAAAGCACTCTCTCCTGAAAAAGGAAAGGTGATCTCTCTCAGAAAGACTAAACAACCTGCCAAACGTGACCGCAGTGAACAGCCAGGTGACCAAAGATCTGTCAAATGTACAGCCAACCACATTCACTTTGTTTTTCCATAGGGAAATTTGTGCTGTCAGTTGCACAGCTTTAACGCTTCATTAGTTTTGAAATGTATGCCTTTTGGTAATGCTGGCCACTCATATAATCTCTCCAGATACACTTTCCTCCTCTAGATAACTTCACTGTTGAAAATAGCAAACTTCTGGCTTGCACACATCACTGCTTGTTGATAATACAGCAAAGAATTTATTTCATAGCTGAAGATTGCATGCGTAGGCAATTGGGACTGTGATGAATTACTATCTCTGTTTCCAATGCTAAGCTTAAGACATTTATTTGGCAGTTAGAAAAATGTTGCCAATACCAAACTACTGGTATTAGCAAACATTTACAGGATTAGCACTATAGTTTAGCATCTCCCAAAGAAAAAAGTTCTTTTCTGGCTTATTACAGTTTCTCCTGCATGCTTTCTTCCTTGTATAGCTCCTTTTTGGTTTTCATACAGTCAAATTGTCGATGATGTACACACTCAAATACACACGCACAATCCAGCAGGCCTAATTAGTGTACGCATATACCATGACTGCAAAGCACAAGCCTGATATTTGCAAGCAGGCATGGCTAGTTAGCCATCTAACTAGCCATGTAAGCAATCAAGCGACCCATTTGTTTTATTTAGATTTAAGTTTACATTGCACTCACAATTATGATACCTGAATACCACAAATTAGGTCCACACAATTGGGCATGTAGATTTATATGGGCTCATCTTTGACAATCAGATCCTCAAACATTCACTATTAAATCTGCAAAAGACCCAAACTTCTACTGATTTAATTTTAAAATATAGATAAAAAATTAGGTTCTGCTTCCTGTACCTCCCTTCTATGGGCAAAATCCTGCTCACCTTACTCACATGAGTAGCTACACCAATGCCAATGAGATTAGACACTTGAAAAAGGCAGGTAGGATTTGGCCCCCTCACTGTTCATTCTCTGTACATGCAGATTTTCAGGCTCTGTCCCAGTTCACCCTGATCCCCACAATCCCAATCACCAATTCCATTGGATAGTTCATAGAATCATAGGATATCAGGGTTGGACGGGACCTCAGGAGGTCATCTAGTCCAACCCCCTGCTCAAAGCAGGACCAATCCCCAACTAAATCATCCCAGTCAGGGCTTTGTCAAGCCTGACCTTAAAAATCTCTAAGGAAGGAGATTCCACCACCTCCCTAGGTAACCCATTCCAGTGCTTCACCACCCTCTTGGTGAAAAAGTTTTTCCTAATATCCAACCTAAACCTCCCCCACTGCAACTTGAGACCATTACTCCTTGTTCTGTCATCTGCTAACACTGAGAACAGAATAGATCCATCCTTTTTGGAACTCCCTTTCAGGTAGTTGAAAGCAGCTATCAAATCCCCCCTCATTCTTCTCTTCTGCAGACTAAATAATCCCAGTTCCCTCAGCCTCTCCTCATAAGTCATGTGCTCCAGCCCCCTAATCATTTTTGTTGCCCTCCGCTGGACTCTTTCCAATTTTTCCACATCCTTCTTGCAGTCTGGGGCCCAAAACTGGACACGGTACTCCAGATGAGGCCTCACCAATGCCGAATAGAGGGGAACGATCACGTCCCTCGATCTGCTGGCAATGCCCCTATTTATACAGCCCAAAGTTCTGCAATGATAGTGATGTGCCCAGCCTTTGTGTCACTTTGATAACACTTGGGATCACTGTCGATATCAGCCTCTGGGATGGGCAAAGACTTTTGTTAATATCAAACCTTTGGTTCTAGCATGTATCTTTCATATCTCTATCACACGTTTCAGAGAAGAATGTAAAAACAATGTGCCCTGTTGCAGGAAATGCAAAGAAGATGACAAGCCCCATGTCCTCCGCTCCTGCCCTGCCCCAGGTCATTTAATGATGTTGTTCAATTACCTGTGAAAGTCCCTTCCTCTGCACAGCATTAGAGCTCTCCAGAAAAAGCAAGGAAAATAAGATTATTTAAATATTTAAGATGCTGTAAAATCATTCTACTGTCCCAATACTCAGACATCTGTATCATACATAGTATCAAACACCATCGACAAAAAATGTTCAGCTAATCACCACCTGTGTATTTTCTATGTCATATACACAGTAGCTCAATAATGATCTAGCTTTGGGGAGTTGATTTTTATAGATTGCAAGGTTAACTGAAACACATTACATAAAAAACTCATTAAAAGCAAATTGTATGACACCACACTGTAGACATGCAGTCAGATTGCTGATTCCCCCAATCTTAAAAACAAACTGAACGTGTTAAAAATAGTAAATAGGTTTAATAAGCTGAGGAGTTTAAGAAAGTTGCTTTTTACAGTTCAGTATTTTGAAAGATGGACCCAGGTGTTAGCTGAGTTAATTAGCAAAGAGATTAAGCAGATCCTAATTAGAAAGGTTTTGTTTGCATCCTTGTTACATAATCACTTAGTGGTTGTACAGAGCTTTGACAATGTAAAGCATTAGTAGAAGTGCCAAGTATTATGATTTATTAAACAGTAAAATATTTCCCTCTTTCACTCATATTATATTAATATTTATTACATTTTTCAACAATCCCCTGCTATCGTTTGCCAGCTACTCAAACGATGCTATATTTTGAAGATGATTCTTCATCAAAAGAACTGTCCGGTGCTCTTGCCTAGACAGCATAAAACAAGAAATAGTCCTTTGTACTGTCATTTTAAAGCCATTTTAGAGGAGCTGCGAAATAGCAGGAAAGTGAGAAGAGGTACAATATAGTATCTTGCAATGATCTCTTCTACCTCCAGCTTCCATGGTGACAAAAGTTACTGTTCTCCGGAGATAAAAATAGAGCTTACAGTAAAACCAAGCCAATGTGATAAAGGCACAACCACCTTATGCAATCATCATGCTTTTTTGAAAAACAGCTAGGACACCTTGATTGTTTTAATACTATGGGCTAATTTCAGCTGGGCACCATCAGTGTGTGTGTGTGCAAATTTTAACCAAATTCAAATTAAGACTACTCAAAATTAACTTTAAAAATGCAAAGAAATCCTAGCCTCACTATACAACAGTGATCATACTTAACCTAATCACAAGCTCTGACAATAAAATTGTTCAATTTTTCAGTTGAGGTTTCAGCTTTATTCCCTGGTTATTTATCTGCAGTGGAAGATGCTAAAATATACTCTATGTGTCAAGAATGCTGATGCCAAGCATAGGATGCTGAAAATGCAACTAATTGTTAACAGTACAACGATCCGATCCATATAGTTTAAATATTTCTCTTTTAATACTGTACTAATGCAAAGATCTACATGCAAAATAAAATAAAATGATTCTACTTACAGCCAACCATCATCATGGCCACCGAAAAAATCTTCTCTCCATCTGTGGTTGGAGCTATGTTTCCAAATCCTATTGTTGTAAGGCTTGTCATGGTAAAGTAGAGAGAGGATATATACAATGAGTCTTTGCTGGGGCCTCCTTCCCACTGCCCTGAGCCGCTGGTATTGTACCGATAGGGTGCCCCTATACTCAACGCCAACTGGTAGAGCCAGCTGTCTGTCTTGATTGTATTAGTGACTTCATCTATAACTTCATAGTCCCCAATGCTGTACCATATACAGGCTAGCCAGTGGGCCACTAGTCCAAAGACACAGACCAACAGCACTAGTACTGCAGCACCATATTCCAGATAATGGTCCAATTTCCTGGCAACACGACCAAGGCGTAGAAGTCGCACCACTTTTAAGGAACTGAAAAGGCTGCTGATCCCCTAGAAAAGAATAAGTTTCATTACATCATCAGAAATACGCTATTAAGTAAAACAGCATGTAACACAGCCACTCCCACATTTGCCCTGAGTAACCTTTCCATAAATATTTTTCTTTAACGTTCTAGACAACAGAAGATTGTAAACTCACAAAAACCTCAGTCGGCTAGGTCAAGTTCAGTGCTTACTAGACAAGCCAATGAGCTAGGTCATATCAGATCTCTTATGAGTACTGAAATAGCATTAGGGAGCAAATAAGAAACAGCAGGTGTGTTTAATATAAGTGGCTAAGGGCCCAATCCTCTACCATTTTTAAGTCAATGGGAGGTTTAGCATAGATTTCAGTGGGAACAGGTCCAAATTTAAGTATACAATTGAGAAGGAGGCTTCTCTAAGTTTATCAAAGAATTGTACCCCCTGCAGGACAGTAAATAGGAACACAGAATTGCCATACTGGATCAACCAATGGACCATCTGGTCCAATATCTGTAGCCAGTGCCATATGCTTCAGAGGAAGGTGCAAGAAAACTTGTAAAGGACAGCCATGGAATAACCTGCAGACCAGGGAAACGTCTACTATACCACCCAACAGTGAGTGGCTGGCCAACGTCCTGAAACAAGAGGGATTACACATCCCTTATTATTTGTAGTCGCATCCAATGTAATGTGGATGTCCTCATTACCCATATAGATAGCTCGCTAATTCTGAGGGCGGGATACTTACCTAATCACTGACCGCCAATTGCTCTGCTTAGTGGGTATCAGATACACCAAGAGCCACTAGTCAGAAATGTAGACGAAAGATAATTTACTTGCTGGTCAACAGACAGTGTAGGTATTTCCATACAGTAATTTTTGTTTTTTTACTCAAGTAAAGTACAAATAAATGGAAGCAAATACTTAGGAAATAGAAGCACAGAGAAATGTTTAAAAAGTAACGGAAACATTTGGGAAGGAGCAGAAAGTGTGTATATCCCCCTGAACGCAAGTATGATTCACAATGGTTTTAATGAAAGTTATACATGCAGAACAGAAGAAAAATAAAGCTCCCAATTTATTGTAATCCCATGATATAACTAACTTTTGCATTAAATTAATTAGTGATTCAAAATAGAAGCTGTACAAAGAAAGATTTCTAATATAAAATACTAAGAAGTCACAGACATTTAATTTAAAATAGAAATTAAGACACAGAATGCAATGAGGCAAACATTCTAAGTTTCTGTGCCAAGATTAAATTGCACTTTTCTACGCATCATTATTGAATCAGTCTAGTCAAAACATTAGCTAATTATATTATCAAACTGTAAAATACTGGAATTCCTGTAGTTAATATTAGCATCAAAAAAACCTTATTCCCCTTATGCATCTGTGTCTCCTATCACAGACTGTATTTGAAGGGTAACCTGCGACTGATATTCTAGATTCATACATTAGACAACGGTCTTGTTTTTTAAATCCAGCACGTTTTTCAAATTCAGTCACTTTGTTTCAGATCCCCAAATCCTTAAATTGAAGATCTATAACTGCATTGGAATGCATACAATGACTGATACTAAGAAAGGAAGTGGAATTTTCCAATTTTGATTACTATAATCTGCATTTAAGTTCTCTCAATTTTACACAAGGTATCCTTACTCTGATTTCCAACTGAGCAGATGCCTGTTCATTTTCTCTGTAATACGTGATTATTGGTTGAGCCCTGAAAATCTGCGGATATCCACTTTATATCCACAGACCATGTTTGTGGATCGGATGTAAATACAAACTTTGTATCCACACAGGGCTCTAGTCCCGTTGGGCCATGGCACATTGTGACCCTCATGTAAAAACCATTGAAGTAAATGGAAAAGATTCCCACTGACTTCACTGAGCACTGGGCTGGACCCAGCCCAACTACAGTCTAAGAGACCCACAAAGCAAAAGCCGCCAGTACACATATTTTTTAAAAAGGGAGTATATTCTTATGATACTACAAATTCATCCGCGGTGTCACTCCACCGAAGTCAGCACTTTACAAATTATAGGCCTGATCCCGAAAAGTTCCAAACACCTTCTGTGAAATCAACGGGAAAAAAGAAGAGAATGGGAGAAAGTCCCTGCAGGATAGGGCCCTGTAGTGGGGACACCATTTGCCTGGCTCCCTCCTGTGGCCAGAGGTGTTTCCATAGCACCCTGTCTGCCCCCTCTCTTTGGGGCCCCTTAGAAGTGCCCTATAGTCTCTCAGGGGAGGGTTGATGGTAACCCTGAGAAAATGGGTCAGTAGCCCAAAGTAATTCAAGATAGACCTCCAAACACAAAGTCTGTCATAGCAACCCCATAGTCTCCAAAGCTCCTGCTAACCACCGAGCCTGCCAGCTCTGCCTTCCTTCAGCGCACGCAATGTTCCGAGAGGGAAAGCAGCATGTACACTCCTCTCCTTCTGACGGCTCCTCCTGATTGGTCGAGAGGGGAGCCCTGCCCCAGCCTGCAGTATAGGGCTCCTGATCCCAGGACCTTAAACTAACAGTCTTCCCATCCCACTGCTAACTGCCTGGAATCACCTCCTCTCTTCCTCGTTCAGCCAGTTTCCGTGCCTGTGTTTACACCAATATCCCTGGGAAGGGGGTCTTCTGCCCACACCCACACCCCGCTTAGGCTTAAAGGGCAGTACACCCCATTACAGGCCCCAATACCTCTTTCAAGTAGGTATGTATTATTCCCCTTTTACATATGGAGAGACTGAACCAGAGATTCAGTCCACTGTCAGGCTCGGATTAAAACTCAGGAGTGTCTTATTATTCTTATTTATTATCTGTATTGCTGTAGTTTCCAGGACCCCTCGTCATTAACCTGAATCCCATTGTGCAAGGTGCTGTACAAACAAAAGGACAGTCCCTGCCCCAAAGAGCTTATGTAACCCACACACCTCCTTGGGTGTGGTGTTCTGTCCCATCTAGTGGCACTGAGACCACTTAGAGAGAGAGTTAAATGAGTCTGCTCTACTGCCTTAGCTAAGAAGCAGTTGGCTTTTAACTCATGCGGTAGCGGTTCATGTACTACGCTTCAGAGGTTCCCAGTTCAATCCTGCCCACCGACAACCAGGATCTGTTGGCGTTACACTTACAGTCTGGCTCACACTCAATATTTTCTCTTTCTAAGTTATAAAGATAGGTTAACACCAGTACCATTAACCTCTAAAATAACATTTAACTCCAAGTCTCAGAGAAAGTCTGTGTTGGAAATTACACCCGCTCCCAAACATACATAATGATTACCTTTTAGTTTGCATCACTGACCCAGGATCTATTTATCATACCATAAAACAAAGGGGAACACTCAATTGTAACTGCTATTGATATATGCCTTACCTGAAATAGTACTACTGTGAAACTTGTTCAAACAGCCTGCTAGTCTCCAAGCAAATTTAATTGGATCAATTGTTTTAAGGCCAGTAAAAAGAGATTTGCCGTCTGCTTAAACTAAGAAGAAGGTGAGCAGTTTAAAAAAATCTTTTCCACAAAGCACTGTATCAAGGCCCCAGTTCAGCGAAGCACTTAAGCACGTACTTGACTTCAAGCATATGAGTTTTCCTGTTGAAATCAGTGGGACTATTCAGGTGTTTAAGTACGGGGCTGGGCCTGAATGGGTACCTTTGGTGCTTCCTCTGACACAAAATATCTCCCGAGGATATTGGTGTAACTGATAGATTGTTCACACAGGGCTTTGCCAAAGATTCAGTAGAGGTGGAATTAATTAGGGCAACTGGATTTTAGTGTCAAATTCATGCCGTAAAGAATGTAGATTAACATAGGCTGTTGTGTTTTTAATCCAACAGCTTGCAATTTGTCTTTGTGTTCATTCTCCCTTCATAGAATCATAGAATATCAGGATTGGAAGGGACCTCAGGAGGTCATCTAGTCCAACCCCCTGCTCAAAGCAGGACCAATCCCCAGACAGATTTTTACCCCAGTTCCCTAAATGGCCCCCTCAAGGATTGAACTCACAACCCTGGGTTTAGCAGGCCAATGCTCAAGGCGGCAGGCTGTATTTATATTATATTATGATAATTTATGGATCATGTTAAAAAGAAAAAAATCTATGTTGGAAATCCAACACTATTTTAAAAGGGGTGTGCTAGTTTGGAGCCAGCATTCTCAAGAACTGTGGGAGTGGAAAGGGGATTTAGAGCAACCTGAGTGGTGCAGGTATGGATCTAGTCCAATTTTCTCATAATATCCTTCAGATCTTGTAAAATACATCCTTGACACTGAAGATCCAGCCTCCCAGGAGGATAATTTGTCATTACAGTAACATATCTGGGAAGAAAGTCAATTGAGTCAAACGCTTGCAATATCTCATAGACTACATGTTCTCTGCTTGTGGACATCAGATTGTATTATGAGCATGAACACGATACGAAATCACATCTCATGAAATGAAAGGATTGTGGACAGGGTATTAAATCATGGCACAATGAGACCAGGCCATTTGCTCATCTCACAGCTTGTCTGGTCTTCAGAATTTTCCTAATTGAAAAACTGTTTACGCAGAAAAGCCGTTTCATTTGTACAGATTTGGAAGTATTAAATCCAAAAATAATATTCAAAATCCATTTATGATTTTCTTGTTTTAAAAAGTTCAGGGAATGATCTAAAGTCCATTGAAGTCAATGGAAAAACTCCCTTTGACGTCAGTAGCCACTGAATCAGAAAATAAAAGAAAATAAAAATTATCAAATGGTACTTATTGGGACAAAGCCAGACATTTACAGGGGGAAAAAAGCAAACTGTGATAAAGTTTAGTAGCCCCTGTACTGCATATGCTGTTCTCTGATGACTGCACGGAGATTTGTGTTTACTCCAGTTCATCTAAACTCACATTTTAAAAAAAGATACAGTGGCTATAAATGGGAAAATCCTGCCACTATTCTCATTTGAAATTATTGTGATGTTCTCCCTCTCCTGATGTTCAGAATTTGGCCAACTGTTGCTCCATCGACAATCTCATTTCTTTAGTTAATA